TTCCAGCAACTCATAGACTAAAGAAGGAAGGGGAAACTAAAGGCCAGACTATAAAAAATGCTGGTAAATGTAGATTTCCCCCTCATCAGGAGTCCACGGCCGCTCACCTACGTCAGGACCCTAAGATCGTAGGACCGGGGTATGTGGAACCTACTCGCCAGGGATTTGACCTGGCCCACCTCCAAGGAGTTGTCAAACTCCGAGCGTGGGATACTAGCGTCAGCCGCCCTTCAGGCAACGCTCCCTCCCACCAGTCCAACGGCGAGCTCTACAACGTCTTCCCCCTCGGCCTGAAGAGACCCTTTGGGCTCCCTCGGCAATACCGACGTAGCACTTTCACGAGGAGAGTCATCGCCTCGGTGGAAACCCTTGGTGCCCCCAGAGGCTACTCTTTCCCTAAGCACCGCAATCTCTTGCCGAAGAGGGACAGTAGCCAAGGGACCTAACGAGGAGAGAGGGGAAGGGGTTTGAGGAGAGCTCCCTCCCGAGGTGTTCGGGAGCTCATAGCACTCAGGGCCGGAGTCCGAGAAAGACATTGCGAATTACCTAGAAGATGGTGAGGAAGGTAAAGACGAGTGTCTTGAAGGATTGAGAACCTAGGAGCTGAGTTCACTCGATAGCAAGGGCGCCTAAGTTCAAACGACGCCCAAGCAACAGCTCAAATCACTATGGATCCAACGGTCACGAGGACCCTCTGCTTCTGCGAACCAGCTATACCGCACCACTCGGCGCGTGCCCTCGGAAGACAAAATGACGCTGGAAGAATCACGAGGATCTCTCGCCGCAACCCGCCAGGCAAACCGCGAAGTCCACCCATCGCGACCCATCGGGCGAACCGCTCAGCCAGGAAAACGCACACCTAGCATATCTGGGTGACTGTCCTCCTCACGTAGGGCCCTTGACGCAACCTGATCGTACATGACACGGGGCCATCCCCGCTAACCCGAGGCATCCGCGCCACACGCATCTCCGAACCGATGAGGAAGGAAGACACATACAAACTGAAAGTGACGCCACTGCAGAATACCCGTTGGCTGACGAACCAGAAGGCATAACAGTCGCTACTCCCGATGGCCAAAGCCGAAGCCTTACCACAACTATCATCTCCATTATTAGACGAAGCCAAGACATCACCTCGGCCCCGGGAGTGGGGGGCAAGTCATGTGGGCTAGCCAGGCCCAGCCCATTACGGGTTGTGAAGCCCGACCCACTATCGCCTGACAATGCCAGCCATAACAGAGGGGAGCCCCCCTGCCTTCGTACGGAGCCAACCACAGAGCAATTAGGCATACTCGCAAGGACCTGTCGCCTGACTTCGTACGGCTCTAATCTAGTGCGTTCATCCCCACTTGCCTCTAGCTCGTTCAAGTATAAATATGAGGTAATTCTCCCTTGACAAGGGATCCAGACCCCAGAATCATGATCCAGCTCCCGCATTTACTTCTAGTGCCTTGGATTAAATTCTTGCACCTACCTTGCTTCGTTAGCGTTTACTCTTGGGGATCCAGTGCATCCGAGGACTACCACCGAGACCTCGTTTGCACCTTCCCCCACCTTGCACCTCGTACTAACTGGAGCGTTGGAGCCTCCACCTCGAGTCTCCACCTGAGGTCTCTGACATCTCTTGTTTTGCAATACCTCGGATCTCTTGGGACCTTTGTCACCTAACTGGCGACCTGCAATCTTTGGCTTCTACCGTACTTAGAAGGGAGCATCCCGTCTCAGCCTACAATCCTCGACCTCGACTTGCCCTCCTCTGAACCCTCAAAACCTTCGATTTGCCTTCGAAACTTGGGAGTGAATTTACCTTATTTGCACTCGGTTAATCCGGGCAGCAACATTAATAATTCCGGGCATGGTTGAATGAATTCTTCTCTATATAAATAAACGATGTTAGAAAGTGTGAAACAAAGATATTCTTTTTTCCCTTCTTTAGAGGGAGGCAGTTGTTGGGATGGTCAACACTGCGAAATGTTGTAAAAATAATAAGAGGCGGTGCCATGGGAGAACCGAGTTCGCATCTGCACCCCACAGAGTGCACCCCACATGCACATTTTGGCTTTCATTGCGAATATATCCTGTAGTTATTGTTTGGAGATATTCTTAATACACGGTTGAAATGATCTGCGCGGCACAGATCTGAATTCAGGGGAACGGACCCCTCGCTACCCTGGTTTTGCAATTGTTCTTGCGGCCAATATCAATCCTTTTCCGGCCGTTCTTGACCCTCCGTTAGTGGAGGATATTCCATAGGTCAAATGGTGAAGGAAGCCTCACAAATCACAATTGGTGATTGGTACACCTCATAGGATTTTGGTACCTATTGATACATTGTATCATTAGTAAATAAAATGACTAGAAAAAATGTGAACAATTAGGGGCTTAATGTTTTATACTTTTATTTACTTCTAAGGGCTCTGGACTCCATCATCATTCTCACTCCAAAAATATCTAGAGAGAGAGAGATTTTCATTTCGGGAGGGCATGTGAGAGTATCCAACCAGATTTAGTTGTTGTCTCCCTTTAGAGGTGTCATCTCCATTCCACAAGGCATTAATTAAAAAATAATTTTAGGAGATAGAGATGATGATGGCGATGGAGCGTGTCATATAACTGAAATATGAGATGTGTGGCTTCCATCATCTCTCTTAAACTCTTAAACAACGTAACATCTTATACCATTCATGTGTGTACCTTTTCTTATGTATCCCTTCCACTTCTCTCTCTTCTTTTTTTTTCCCTCAATTTAATATTTGGTTCCTTCTACTCTTTCAATTCCAACATAAAAAATGAAGAGTATAGGACCCACTATGTATGTTACTTTCTCGTCACTAGGTGGACAAGGGCTTCCCTGCTGGCTTCATTACAACCAACCCCACTATCTCACATCTCACACATATGAAAAGTCATGTTGCATTCGCAAGATATGACCATAACCTCATTATAATATTAGTAGTAAAACCACTCAAACTGAGGAAAAGAAACTGAGAACCACCCATCATCACCCAAAGACACAGAAGCCTTTTACAAAAACAACCTAATAGTATTTAATAATATATCGTTTGATCTTGTGCTGTAATATTTATTTCCAATTTTGAATTGTTTTTTGTACATTGATTACAAACTACAAAGGCTTTCAGTTGTCCGGGTTTCTTTGGAAACTAAATAACTCAGAAAGGAGAGATAAAAGGATAAATTGTTGAAACCTACCTGAAGTTTTGAGGTGAAGTTTGATAATTGTAATCACTTCTAAATTTTTTGACACGGTTGCGAGCAACTAGATCCCCTCTGTTGATATAAAGCACGGATTTAATAAATAAATCAATTTGGTAAAGAAAATGTTTGGAAAGGTTTAGAGCAGTGATTGATATGAAGAGAAATTTTAAAAAATAAATATTTTAATAAAAAATAAACCATATGAATATTTTGGACATTTGATGCCTCTTGTTTAGAGATTCTAACAGATTGCAACTACGTCAGGAGAAGCAATTGCAATTACCATATTTCCTGCCGACTATAAGGCTCAATTTTGGAGTATAAATATAAATACATAGTACAAAATATAAGGTTTCACTGTACATATTTATATTTGTAATCCTTCTAAACTGAGCCTTAAAGGGAAATTTGAGCAACGGCACAGCCATGGTTTTTAAAAATGAACCGAAGATCAAACCGGTCAGGGTCCAGTTACCAGTTTGAACGGTCGGACCATTCAACCCGAACGGCCGATTCATTCTAACAAAAAAAATAAAAAGGATTGAAAAACGGTTTAAATGGTTCGAATGATTAACCAGCCGGTTCAACGATTTGCTGACCAAAATCAACGATTTTGAGAGAAAAAGCAGTTTTGGGAGAAAACGGATGACCGGTTCCGGTTTTTCCGATCCAACCGTCCGGTCCAGTCTGGTTTTAAAAACAATGCTTCCAGCAATTAAAAAAAATAGTAAGTAGACTGTAAAGACTAAATAGTGGGGTTATTTTATTTAAAAATCATGATTAGAAAAGCCAAATCAGTTATTAATGCAATTATTATGCCCTAAAATAACACAATGATGATTGATGCAAGTCTAATCCCTGCTATGTTTGCCCACGTTTAGAGAAGTTGGAAGAACTAAAGAAAGGCTTTTAAAATTCTGATTTCTGATCGTGTGGACTCAGCGATTCGTATCTCCCACTCCTACATAATATACATGGCACAAAATGGTATAACAATGTTTAGCTTTACCAAGCATCCACTGTTTCTGTTACGCCTTCTGAAACTTCACTAGCTATGTGCTACAGTTACTACTTACTACCTCTCTCTCTCTCTCTCGATAAAAAACATGCATTAACTGGCACGAAACCCATCGAATTCTAATCCAAATTTAGATGTCTGCTCCTCTTCTGTGAAGCTCGGGAATTTTGTGTCTGTTTTTTTTAAAGCATCACTATTATCATCTCATTGAAATATGTCAATCCAAGATTCTCTACAGATGGGTCTTGGCATCTTTTAACTGTTCAAGTGTTTTAAATGATTCACACCCGTGTTATTTTTAGTAATCTCACTCGCCCAATATTCCACCTCCATTAATTTCTTGAAGTAATAAACGAAAAAAAAAAACAGAACAATTTGATTCTGAGCCCACTGATTTCTTTGATGGGACCCATAACGTAGCCGTTGGGTAATGATCCTCTGAAAATGGGCCAGGCGAGTTAATGGCCCGATAGGGCCAAAACCCGTCCACGAGATCCGTAGCGTCGACTCGACGATATTACCACACCACCCACATCCACGATATCACGTCAATCCACCTCCACTACTAGCAAATTACCCAAACAACAGATCCAATTTACCGAGAATACCATCCAGAGATCGACGGGGACGAATGCAGAACAGAGATTTCAGGCGCGTACGTAATGGACAGAGAGAGAGAGAGAGAGAGAGAGAGAGTAGAAGAAGAAGAAGAAGAAAAAGCATTAGTGTTCCGAGCATTTGGTTCCTTTAATCGAATTCATCAATATATAAAAACCGATCTAAATTCTTAACAATAAACAACGTCATATAAAATGGAGGAAGAGAATAAACACGTAAGCTGGATTGATGTTTACTGTAAGACCATCTTCAAACAAACGACGACATTTAATAAAATGTAGAGAGAAGATTAAAACAAGAAACAATAACAAAAGAACTAGATGATTAGTAGAAATTAACAGCTACCTTCAGCATTTCACTGCTTTCCTTCTTTTGCTTTCACTAGCCCTCCCTCCCTCCATACTGTTCGTCCTCTTCATCCCAGCTGGAACTCTGGATCTGACGCTCGTACAGCCTGAAGTTGCCCACCTGCGAGAAAAGTGAGGTTGACGACGAAGACGAAGACTTCGAATCGTGGTTTCTGGGCTGGAAACACCCCAACGACATCCGAGGTGGCGACACCGCAACTGTCACCGACGACGATGAATGCGCTCCTGACTCCGGCGAAGATCCTACGTTCATGAACCACCACCGACAAACAAAAACCAGATATTATATCTTGGCTTTCCCTTTAATGGCCAACAATTAACCAAAATCTCCGTGCCTCCGAGGACAAACAAATTAACCTAGCTAATTAACTTAAATGCAAACCCCAAAAACACTTGTAAGCTTACTTGCAGGGTTTTCTGAAGGGGAACCGAGAGCGTTTTCCAGCTGGACTTGTTGCTGCTGCTGCTGGGTTTGTTGCTGAGGTTGCGATTTTCTCCTCCGACGGTTGTGATCGGCCAACCGTTTCCTGCAACTTCGTTTTCCTTGATCGAACTCCGACAGAAGGTGAAACCTGTTTTAATTTGTTCGAGTACAAAATAGATAAATCAACGACATCAATGACCGAATAAACTAATTTATCCATCCATTTCAGTATAAGAAACAAAGCAACAGTACGTTAATGGACATTACGAAAATTTTCCGGACACAAATGCCCTCGGGATTGCCCCAAGTACGGCAATGCCAATCATTAGCTCAACCAAAAACTTCACGAGGGCATTATGGTCTTTCTAACTATTCCAATGGAGGCCAAGACGGCAAGACCAGGAGACTGTGTTGTACTTGCTTTGCTTTATATGAGAAAAGTATAATTACACTGTTAATTGAATGGTATGGGTAATTTTGTCATTTCGAACCTGCTACATTGCTGGCAAAAGCGCTGAGTCAACCCGCCAGCTAACACAGTGGAGGCTTTCGAGTGAAACTCGCAGACCTTGTGACGCCGGTGATAATGCTTCGCGTGAGTCAAATCGGCGTTGCATCCCTCGGCCTGACATCTCGGTGAGTTCGACACGCCGGCTTCGATCGGTCTCGATCGGCGGTACAACCGGTTCACGAAATCGTCTTCTGCCGACGAGAAATACGTCCGACCACCTAAATTTAACCCGATTCTGGCCGGAAAATCCATGCCTCCTGGTCCACACACCTCCTCGCTCTTCGGCAAGATCATAAAACTAGTGGGCCCGGCAACAGGTTCCGGTGCAGGATGCTGGTGCGGGTAAGACAGTGAGTAAGATCGTGCGTCGTAGAGGGACTGGAGATGGGTTTGGTTCTGATGTTGCTGTTGTTGGAAGGGGTGATGAGTAGGGTACGAAGCCGCAGGAGAAAGGAAGTTCCCCGCCAGTGTTTGGTTGTACTGGTCGAAAATCTGGCGCGTTTGGTCGGAATCTTGTCCGGGCTCCTCCCCAGAGAGTAACATTGCAGATGGATTCCCCCACTCGTACTCCAGCATTTTTTCTTTCTGCCTCTTTTACTCGAGAGAAAAACAAAAAAAAAAGGGCACTCCGTAGACAAACGTAAGCTCTTCCGGCAAGCTAAGACGTCATTTTCCGGCGGTCAGATGGGACTGTTCAAACTGTACATGAAACACAAAGGAAGTTCAACTCAAAAAGGGTTTGAACAGAAAATGTGTCAGCTTTCCTCGGGAGATTATTGAGCAAAGAAGCTTCGTAGTTTCAAGTTTGGCTGTAGACTTTATGCTTTTTTTAATGGTTTTTTCCCTCCTGGGTTTCAATCGCTTTTACGAGCATGTCGGTGTTTCAGGTATCTTTTGTTATATAAATAGATAAAATGTTCTTACCTTGAAGTGCAGACTCCGAGAGAAGGAAACGAAGCTATAACTGAAACCCTGTTCGCCATTGACTGAGCTTCTCTCTATCCACTAATGGCGTGTACGTCTGGGAAGAAAGAAGTTCTTTCACAGAACATATATTAAGAAAAGACTTTGTACTGATGTCTCCCTCTCTCTCTCTCTCTCTCTCTCTCAAATACACACACAGTCGACAGACATACTCACATACACGCAGTTGAGACTTGAGAGGATACAAAAACGATCCGTTCAAGCTGAAAGAGAATAGCTCAGGGTCAGCTCACTTCCTATCTCTCCTCCTCACCGAGGAACTGAGGTACCAGGCGGCTCGCACAGAGGTCGGTGATTTTACTGGTTATATAGAAGACTAAATTACGATTGTGACCAGTTGATAGTAACAAATTTACTCGAAAGCCACTTGTCGGAAATAAAGCTCACAATCTCTCTCTCTCTCTCTCTCCACACGAGTCTTCGAGAGACGGTAAGTGATAAGTCGAGACTCGAGAGAAGTTGGTAACTTGGTATTGAACAATCTGAAATAGTCACCAAACCAACGGAATGGACAACCGAATTTACATGTAGACGAAAATGCCCTCGAGGAAATTTACCAATTCAGTTAGACAAGTTAAACTGTGGTGGATAAAGTTGAGGACAGTACGGTAACGTTGGTTTGTGAAGTGGGGGGGAGCAGTTGCTTTATACGGTAGGAGAGGACTATGGAGACGTACCTAATTGCTTCTTCCAAGTTACTAAAACCTACTTTGTTTTCCTGTCTCATTTATTGTCCAATTGACCTTGTACTTTTTCATCCTTGCCGTCTCACAAGTTGATCAAGTTTTACTGAGAAGCTCCACCACCACCACAATTACACTTTTACCAAAATACCCTCCTTCCTTTAGGCTGGGGATCTCCAAGATTCCCTCCGATTGTTGGGGCTTGTTTGGAAATGGATTTCAGACTGCACGGCCATTGAGGGAGGGTATCTGCATGTAAACTTTTTGCGGGTTAGATATATAGTATATTGTCTCTTCAACCTCAACCAGTAAAAAAACTAATAATATAAATGTCTGTACTTATCAATTAACAGTTACTGATTATTAGGCAAAGAAAGAGATCTCCATGAATAGACCTCTCTCTCTCTCTCTCTGTCTCTTGATGACTACCATGAGATTTAATACTTGAAATTTGGTGATAAAACAAATAAGCTTGATGGGCATTTAATTGGTTGGTAGTAAAATGTGAGAGCGGGGGGGTACTAATTTGTTTAATCACAGGGTCCAAAGACATCTCTCCTGCCGGACTAAAAAAGCTGTAGGAGGCAAAGCCAAACAGTGTACATAGCTCTGGCTGTTAAGCAGTTTGCCAAGGAGCTGCTTCCCTTCTAAACAAGGGAGGCTTCGAGGAAACGTCTCAAACAAAGCCGGAGAGATCTTTCAACCATGAGACTACTACTAGTACAACAAACACTGATGGTGACCCAAGTTGTCTGCCCCCTCTACACATTATGATATCGGTGGACTATGGGTCATATCTACATTCTAAAAGGTGCCTGCCTATCATACACTCTAAAGCTCCGTTTGTTTGTTTGTTTGTTTTATTGTAGAATCTATGATGCATTGAGTTTTCTTCACGTTGAAATATCTCAGCTATCACTAATCAGTAGATGAAGATAAAGTTTTGGCTGTAAATGGGGCATAAAATATAAATCATATCACAGCTGAAATATTTTGTACTGGACAATTTTAATTAATACACTTTATGGAGAAACAATAGCAGATTAATGGTAATTTTTTATATATTTCATTGGATATACAATTTCCCCTCTGGCATTTTTCATTGGATAGCAGATTAATACACTTTATGCCTTTATGGTTCAGTTTAGAGATTTGTATTTGTTCATTGAAAATTTTCCCTCTGGCATATCCTTCACTTACATTTTCTTATATTTTTAAGCTTACAAATTTTTAGTATTTCATTTTTAAAATTCTTGTTATTTATCAAATTTCACTTAACTCACAGTTAACCTTGGTAAAATCCCTACCTACTTGTTCATGAAGCTTCCAAATTTAGTTGATCTTTTGAATTTAAGAAGTAGCTTAAACTTAAACTTAAACTTGGTCTGGACTTGTTCGATCTTCCAAAAGCAAATGTAACCAATCCGAATAACTATTTTATGAATACATAGAAAAATGTAGACATTAGTGTAATAACATAAAATTTCTTTTTCTTGAAGTAGATCATTTCTGCTAGGTTAAGGTTTTGAAAATAAAGTTTCAAAGCAGAGAATTTTCTTTTGGGGTCCATAGGCCCTGACCATTTCACATAGGTAAAAGTCTTCAGACCTTAGTTGTTAGGCATGCTCATCTTTTTTAATCAATCCCCTGAAGACCAAGGGACCATTTTTTATAACAGCCGAAGTTGTTGAACTGAATGATTTATTAAATTGTCTTTAATAGACAAAATAATTAAATAATAAAATGTTCAATGATCAATGATCTATCTTAGGTTCAGTCATCAAAAATCCCACAACCTCTTTTTAAATCTTTTTCACCAAAAAACATAGCAACAAAGCATTTTTAGTTCAGCTTCTTCAGCTAGAGAGAGAGAAAGATGGAGAGTAATTACAACAAAACTAAATCGTCTAATTTACTTTTTATATGACATTAACCTAAAGGTTATATTCAATACTATCCTTGATAATGTAAACAGAACAGTTCTCATTTATCATATAGAAGGACTAACAACGGTGCATATGAAAAATATAGATAGTAGAAATAACAGCACATAAATAAAGGGTTCCCCTTGGAATTGGCATTTATTTGATAGGTACTTGTCAAAGCTTGTCAATGAAAAACCTAGCAACTAGGCGTGAAAGAAGCGCTTCATTAACGAAGATGGGTACATATTCATGCATTTCCAACTCTCACCTCTCACCTAGATAGGTAAATATTCAAATTCATGTCAACGAGTTATTGATTTTTAAGCACTTGTATCATTAGACTTGTCTAGGCTCAGCTTGGTTGGAGGGTAAAATGAGGGAAGTTGAATAGTTTAATTCCCTCAAAATTATTATTTTATGGTGTTTGGTTGCACGGAAAATAGGTGTGTAACATGAGCATTCTTCTAAAAGGAAGTGTTAATTATAGTAGAATAAGGATGTATTTGGTTAAAATTCTATTGCAAAGAATCATTATTGGAAAATGAGTTATGAAACCAAAATTGATTCTTTTTATTCTAATTCTTTTTTTTTTCACTCCAAAGAATTAATTCTTAGGAGTTTTGAACCCAAAAAACCTTGAGGCCCCTTTCGCATTTCAGTAAGTTACTTATCCGGGTAAATACAATTACCCAAGTAATTGTTTTTCAGGAAAGATTTATCTGGGTAAGTGCATTTACCCATGTTGTTCTATTTCCCATGTAAATAAGGCAAGACCATTTTATCCATAAAAATCCATTATTACAAGGGGCATTTTTGACCCTTTTAAGTATTGACAACTTTCCCCCAATGTGAGAAAGTTATTTACCCACCTACCCACCTAGGAGACCCAAGAAAATAAACTTTCTCTAATCTGCCAATAAATCTGAAAAAAGAATATGAAATTTTTGGTCAATAGAAATCAAAATCTCATTAACCAACTTTCCCCCTCTCAAAATCCAGAAAAAGAACACTCCTTAATTCTAATAATTTTTATACATCCAAATTTAAAATTGATTCTTAGAATCATATAATTCATGAGCACTAATTCTATGAAAATATGGGGCAAGCATAGCCTAAACATTCTATGTATTTCTTCATAGTTAATATTCTTAACAGAGAATAATTGGTCCTCTCAGTTCAACTATATGGGGTTGAATATCTTTTGCTAAAGAAACTGTGTGTTCCTTTATTTCATGAGCAACCAATAAGAGAGACTAGGTTGAATAACAGTTCAAAACCCTTAAGACATATTCTTGTTCATCCTAAAATTAAAATGCTTTTCATGAATTTTACTGCTTGTGTGATTATCGAAAATTACTTAATTACCCATCGAAATTGGGAGGCATATATGGCACGTAAATGAAGGTTATTATATTGGCCTTTAATTAATTTTGATCATTTTCTACTGAACACCTCAAGCTCATAATTAATGGCTAGCTTTTCTAGTTAATATATAAGAATAAGGTTGGATGTTGGATGTTGACTGCGACGAAAAAGAAAAACATAGGAGGTCGGATGGGAGGAAGAAGGAAGGACATTTTGGAGAATAAGAGAAGGTAGAAGGGCAATGAAAAAGAGGAGGAGCAGCACAAAAGACAGAGAGGAAAAGGAGATCGTATCTACAACGTACGATGTATTATTTGGGGATGGCCGGGTGGGGATTGGGGGAGAAGTATTTGTATATATTTTCCGGAGCTGTAACTCTGGAAAAGCCTGTCACCGATGTTGACTCTCCTTTCCCTTTGTACGGAATGTTTCTTTGTTGCAATACAACTCCTCTCCCCCACCCCTCATTTTTTTTCTTTTCTTTTTTTTAGTTTCATTCACATAATAATAATATATTTCTTCTCGCTAGCTACTTTCTTTACACATATTATAATTCTACCACAGCAAATAATCTAATCCAAACTAAAGATCAGGCGGTTAGAACTTAGAACCTAGAACTGATTCTCTGTGAATATCATCAGTTGCATGGGCTGTGGGTCCCTCCTCTTTTTAAAGTTGGCAGGGTCCACTGCTCAAGGCCACCCCTCCTCTCCCTTTTCTTTTTCCTTCTTTCTTTCACGGTGTCATATGTGGGCTTTTGTGCTGCTGCAGCAGCAGGCTAGCAGCATCTTTTTACTCTTATCATACTCACAATCTCGCACAACTGCACAAGCGGAAGCAGTTGACCCCCCTTCGTCCAAGTATCTCTCATCTCATCTGCACTGCATCTGGTGTGGTGGATTTCTTCTTCCGTCCATCTAGAACCGTTCATGGTCCACCCGGGATCGATCTTTCTTTCTGTGGTCCACGTGTACGGTTAACAGGTCTTGCGTCTCATCAGGGGGCAAAAGAATTTTTGTTGCTTTACCGTATTTGTTTTTTCTTCCGATTTTTTTTTATTTTTCTGGGAAAACACGAAAAATATTTTTTTCCTTTATTTTTATTTTTTTTGGTTTTCTGAAGAGAAATCAAAGTGAAAGAAAGAAAGAAAAGCCGTAGGGGGCGGGAGGCCCGTCCTTTCACAACAAATGAATGGTGTCAGAGGTGGGCAGGTAGGCGGGGACATGCTGTGAGGTAAAGAACGTGCCACGTCATTCTTTATCCCTGTCTCCATCTTGACCGTCCACGTTTTCTGATCATGATCTTTCCCCACGACTCGAATTTCAAACTAGGGTTTTTGTATCTTTCTCGACAGCTTAGTTTCGCACGTGTTTCCTGCCTACGCTTCCTGCATTATGAGATGCGATTCTGACACGTGCTGCCTCT